TGCTTCCCAGCGCAGGGTGCTCGCCAGCGGCCCAACCCCGTCAGCCACCCTAATCTGCACAGCGCCGGGACCCAGGGCAGGGGCACACCGTTCAGCAGGGAAGCAGGACAGCGCAGGGCCTGCCTCTCCAGACAGAGGTCCGGGGACTCTGAAACTGCATGCAGTGTGTACATATGGATCTAAGAAGGCCCTTTTTTCTGGACAGAGGTGAGCTTTTGTTAAACCAAAGGGTATCTGTGACCCTAAAAAGGTGAGCAGCCACTGGAGCGGGGGGACAGAAAAGGGTGTGAGGCAGGGGCCGGGTGGGCGCAGGGCTGGCGCGCTGACCTGCTTGGTTGCGGCATGCGGCCGCTCCTGCTCCTGGCCTCGAGCCTGCAGCTCACGCTCCATGTGCTCGATGTACCGAGCGAGGCAGTGGCAGTGGAAGTAGTGGTAACACGGTGTTTTGGTAAAGGCCTCCTTCTCCTGAAGGGACGACAGACACAGGGCATGGCGCCAAAGCTCTCGTGAGCCCTCTGCTGCCCGTCGCGGGCTGACCCCAGGTCCCAAGAGAGAACCCCACCTGGAAACCATAGAGGCAGATGACGCACTGGCCATGGGGGATGTTGTTGTCTGTGAGGATTTCCTTCCCTTTCTGAGAGGAGAGAAGACACTGTTCAAACAGGGAGGCAGGGGCAAGAACTGTGCACAAAGCCCGTCACTTATTCCCAGGAGTGACCGTGGGACCGTCTCCTACCAAGCTGGTGTGGTACTTTGTGTTCCCGCCTCTCTGTCTTGATGAGACTCCCTCTGCCTGGAATCAATCCTCCATGTCCCTGCCCCTCCTGCCCCATCCACCCAGCTGCAAAATCCGATTTCACTGTTTCTCCACGCATTCTGTCACCTTTAATACACCTCAGGCATGAAAATGATATACCCGGGGAGAACAAAATGTCCTGTTGACACTCCTATCTTCTGGGATGCCTTCCTTGGTTCACCCTCTCTGATTATCACTCCCCCCAAAAGGCTGTTCTTGGAGGCAGCTTTCAGAAAAAGTCAAGGCATGGACAGCCCCAACGACGGAGAACTCAAAGGCATCGAGTTGCGCTATGAACTAACTCGTGTGCACTGCTGTTTGAATAGCTAATACTCTGGAATTCCACAAAGCTCAATGCTGCATCGTGGAGGCCGGCCTCAGGAGCACTACGGCGCTCTAAGCCCACCCTCTGACTCCAGGCCGCCCACCTTCATTCTTCTCTGGACATTTCTCTTCAAAACTTAAAGTTGAGGCAAACAAGACTTAATTGTGTGTTTTTAATCTCAAGCAACAGAAGTTTTCTGTGTACGTGAACTTGTAGCTCAGGGTGGTCCCTGTGGGTCGTTAACTTCATTAGGGTAGAGGCTCTGAGTGAAAGGACCAGGACGTTCTCAGTCCGCTCCAAAGGCAGGCCAGCCTTCAAATGTAGTCCGTGGCGAGACCCTCTAGGCAAGGTCCCTATCTCTGGCTACTTTTGGTTGCCAGTGCCAAGAGAATGCACTGAAACGGAATCAAGAAAAATCCAAGTTAAACACGAAAAGTCGTTTTCAAGATACTGGCGGCCGCTTGGGGAAGCTACAGAACTGTCTTTTGCGGGGGGAGCTCTTGGAAGCAGAAGAAAATCTTCCTCCTGGATTTAGGCCTCACCTAAACAAGGACTAACTGAATGTATGACTCCAGAGGTATTTAAGATTCTGGGCCCACTACCTCCCTTGAGAGAAACGGCTCTCACAGTTTCCCGAGCTAGCACACCGCTTACCTCGATGAGTTCATAGAGCATGGCAGTACCCAGCCCAGCGTTGGCCACGTGGCTCAGTGCCTGTGAAATCCTGGAAAAGGGCAAAGCAAACGTTAGGCGTGCCCCTTCCTCTCACCAGACTGAGCTGTATCCCGTTTTCCCTGCTCTGACCGGCCCGACTTACTTGTGGATCTGTTCATCTGAGAGTCCTCGCGGGTTACGGATAGAGATCTGTGGCACCTCATTGGGGTACTAGTGGGAGGAAATAACGTTACTGCTAAAGCACTCCACCCCAGGGCCTCTCCCCTTCCTCCCTTTGCTGCCGTGAAGCAGGGGCCTCACCTGTGCTGGGACCCGAAGCACCAGAGTGAAGCACACATACTGTGAATCCTGGTCTTCTGCAGTGGCAGGGTGCAGGGTGATGGAGATCTCCCACGGTGAAGATCTGCAGGTGGATGAAGTGGGGACCGGGCATGTGATTGAGCAGGAGTTTGAGGACCGGGGAAGATGGGGGTCAAACAGTGAAGCAGGTAGAGGAAGTGAGCACCGGGCTCCTCTTTTGGGGGCGATTAAAGAAGTCGTCTTTGTCTCCATGAGAACATTTTCTCTGAATCAAGGTTCGTGGATCTGCATGGAATTCTCTCATTACTAAGGGGACTCCTGCCCACCTCTAGTCAAATACGTACCTGCCGTTTCCTTTAACCACCTGTAGTTCATCCAGATAGATAGACTCTAGCACCTCGACTTCAGAGGGAAGTACCCTAGGGAGACAGGAGGAGACTGACTCACCATTATAGCTCTCCCCGCTAAAGCCTGCTAGAGCCCATGAAGGCTGGCTTTATAGAAAACTGGCAATCTGCCTAAGTGCATGCTCTTTTTAACCTCCACAGAAATGGGGGAAATATGTTTTCTTAAGTTGTCAAGCGGCCAGGTAGGAAGCATGGGAATCGGAGTTTAAGGGACCATTTCTGTCAACAGATGAGGAAAGGTGAAGGTGAAAATGACTAGCTCAAGTATCAAAGTTTAACAAAGGCAGAGCTAGAACCAGAGCCAGGTTTCCTGACTCCCTGTTTTAAGTTGCATCGCGCTGCTGGTTGGCCATTTCTCTGACCCAGAAATAAGATGTCCACTGGTTCACATCAAGGTTACCAATACCACTCCTGGCTTTCCCTACACCACTGTTCACATGGATCCCAGCGTCTACACATACTGCCAATATCAGTTGCCCTAAGCCTACTCAGAGGAGATACCAACTGAACAGAAAAAGAGATCGAGGTGGTATTAAAGGCCGTGATGTAACAGAAGAGCCATCAGCTTGGGAGTAATAGGTACCAATCACTGACCAGCTACATGATCTGAGTAAGTATCTCTGTAAGCTTGAGTCACACTGTCTACCATATATAGATAATACCACCTACTCTCCAGGGTTGTTGCGAGGATAAAAAGTTGTTTATGAAAGTACCTAATAATATCTTGGCCATAGTAGCTAGTCTATGTTCTCTTTTTTCCTATTTGTATATAACCTTCTCCCGTGAAAGGAAAGAAGGAAGGATATAGTTAGTATTCAATGTATTTTTGACCCTTGTTATCTGGTTGATTTAGATCAACCTGTTTAGGTCAGGATCTGGTGGTCTGGATGTAAATGAGAGGACATACACGTTTAATTATAGAAATAGCCGTTGTAATGACACTGAAAGTTAGTGATAGGCTCGAGTTCATAGCTCTACCCAGGTAATGCATGTAAAGATGCACGCTTGCTTTCCTTTCTTATATTGTTCTTTCTTCATCAAGAGCAGGGTTGCCCTAGCATGACCCATATATTACTGGTTCTCAAATTTTCTTTTTAAGTCTTAGACACCTCAAAATATAGCACAGATAACTGTGGAGTAGTTTTGCTTGACATAAGTGTGGGAGTCTCAGAGCACAAGCTAGCTGTGCGATCACTACTGCCCTCTCCATGGCTCAAAGTGTCTCCTCAGAATCTTAAAAGTTCCGCTGAACAAGGTGAAAACGATGAGCCCAGGTGGTCTCAAAAAGGCCAACACTGGCTGGCCTCCCTGAACCAACAAAACACTGAAGTGTAACCTCCATCAAGAGGCCCTTCAATACTTCACCCACCCTAGCTGGGACTTGGGCCCTGGATGTGAGGTATGGAATGGGATGATGGTAAGGTGGTGACAAAAAAAAAAAAAAAAAAAAAAAGGAGGGGGGGCAGGGGGATTGTATAATGTCCTAGAACTAAAAACTAAGATTCATGGAGTCAGACAACCTGGATTCCTAGTCATAACTATGTACCTTTTTAGCAAATCGATTTACCTCTTCAGGCCTCATCTAGGCCCCTCAGGGGCCCACACCTCAGTTACAAAAAGGAGGCTTTTATGTTACAAATCCACCCTGATCCTATCAACTATTCTATGAGGTAGATGCCACACCCACTTTTTTACATCTGAGGACACTGACTCACAGAACCTGGGTGGCTTGGTCAGCATCACACGCTAATAAAATGTGGAGTGAACCCACATTTATCCTATTTCCAATCTTCCAGGCTTTGGTCTCTTGTTAAGAATGCTTCAGAGAGGGACTAGGAGAGCTTTTTGTGAGGTGTAAAGCTTTATTCAGACAACAGTCCTCATTGGTGCTGTCGGGGACAGACCGCTGAGGACAGCCTCGGCGGAAATAGGCTGATCCAAGGGGAAAGGGGGTCGGGGGGCTGGAGGACATCGGTTCCGGGAGGTAAAAGGGAGGTGGGGAGAGCTAATAAGCAGGCATCCTCCGGGACCCTGAACAAATCCACTTCAGGACAATGGGACGAGCGAGGCCGAAGAAGAGGGGATCAAGCCAGATAAGGCGCAGCCCGAGCTGGCCTGGCCGGCGCAGATCCGGTCTCCTCTCCCACCAGATCGGTGCCCCTCCACCCTCCTGCTCCCCAGTACAGAAGGTCTCTTAGGAAGACATGTCAGCGTCTCTGTTATCCCTTATCCCTCGCTCCGCCCCACAAGCCCGCCGTACGGACCGTCCGCGGCTACTGCTAGTCCCCCGGATCGGATCCAGGCGGCCAGCCAAAGCCCATGCCCCCAAGTTACCAGTCCTCCTCCCCTGCAGCCGCCGACGCAGTCGCCGCCATGTCTTCTCCGGCCCACAGCCGGAACCGGAAATACTCTCGGGGAAGTCAGGGGCGGCAAGTTAAAGGAGGGAGGGAGGCAGGGAGGCTAGCGGCCGTTTCTAGGCAACCGTAGACTCCAGGTCCTTAGTGGGTCCTGATGCCCAAGAGACGGCTCGGAAGTGCCCTAGGAAGTGCCTATGGGCGGTCCGCCGTCTCTCCCAACACCTCTGAACGCCTTCGTCCTCTGAACCTCTCTGACCAGTTCCAACGAGTACAGCTGGTAACAATGGGAGTCTAAAGAGACAGGCAGTGGGGGTGGAGAAGAATTATAAGTCAGGCAAAGTCTGCAGGCAGCCGGAAGGGACGGGGCTGAAGGCCAGGGCGACGTCCCTCAGCCTAAGGAGCTTGAAGCTCCTAGGCTGGGGGTGAGAGAGGGGCTCCCGTCTGCGAAGCGCGCGGGCAGGGGGCGTGGGAGGCGGTGCTGAGGAGGTTGGCGGTGGCAGGAACCTGGGAGAGGCTGGAAGGGGCGGGGTCGGGTGGGCGAGGCTGGTGAAGGGGGCGGGGCCGAGGGGCGAGTCTGGGTAGAAGGAGAGGGAGAAAGAGAGGGGGAGGGAGAGGGGGAGGGGGCGGGTGGGCGGGGCTGCGTGGAGGGGGAAGGGCGACACGGGGTCCGGTGGGAACGAGGTTGGGTTGGGGGACAGGAGGTGGCTGAAAAGGAGGGAGAACGACAGGAGGCGCTCTCTTTGCTCCAAGATCTCATTTTTCCATCCACTTCGCCCTACGATGTTTTTGACGCCTGGATTATTATGAAAAAGGAAAAGGCAAGGTGGCTAACGTTAACCTTTCTTCCATGCCCGAACCAGGCCTCCTAGATGTATGGAACTGTCCCTGGAGCTGTAGCCCTTCACCACCATCTCTACCTCCTTCCTTCTGAGGGATCCTGAAACCTCTGTCATGGAAAAGTACCACGTGTTGGAGATGATTGGAGAAGGCTCTTTTGGGAGGGTGTACAAAGGTCGAAGAAAATACAGTGCTCAGGTGGTGAACAAAGAGGGGTATCTCTTGGGTGGGATTCTGTACCTCCAACTACGGTGGAAAATGGGACCAGAATACCGACCTGTATTCCTGAGGCACTGACTCCCTCATTCCTCTTACGGAGTATGAGCCCTAATACTGGATTACTTGGGTTCAGATCCTAGGTACACCATTTTGTAGCCTTCGAACTATGGACAAGTTACTTAACCTCTCAATGTCTGTTTCCTCATTTCTAGAATGAGGATAATTATGAACAGTATCTGATTGATGGGGTTTGAGGATTAAATGTGATTCACGCTGAATTACTATACTAGTACAGTGTCTGGCACCTAGTAAACAATAAATAAAATTTATATTTATTGTTATTCTCCTCTATCATACCATGCCGGAAGAGATAAACCACCTGAACTCAATTCTTCATTTTTTTTCTTCCTTCTCTTTCCCCTGAATCTCTTAAATCTTTACCCAGAGTTTGTTACCCAGATCAGAACACCTCTCCCAGAATCCACGAAAGGGATGTCTGGCGGAGGCTCTTTTCTCCTAGGGCAAGGGTGGGGGAGGCCTGGATAAGGCCAGGGTACTGTGGGAAAGGAGAGTAGGAGAATTTGCTCCAACAATCTAAAGCCTGAGTTTTGGAACTCTGAGGTGAATGTTTCAATAGTGTAGTTAGGCCTTGACTCTTCTTCATCTTACCACTGACAGGTGGTGGCCCTGAAGTTCATTCCAAAATTGGGACGCTCGGAGAAGGAGCTGAGGAATCTGCAACGAGAGATTGAAATCATGCGGGGTCTGCGGCATCCCAACATTGTGCATATGCTTGACAGCTTTGAAACTGACAAAGAGGTGCACTTGGGTTTTGGGTCACGCTTCCCCAAGAAGAAGGGTCCCAGAAATTTCCCGATCTCAGAATGCATAAATCTGGAGCCATCAGGACCATTGACTTCTCCCTGCAGGTGGTGGTGGTGACAGACTATGCTGAGGGAGAGCTCTTTCAGATCTTGGAAGATGACGGAAAACTTCCTGAAGACCAGGTATGTTTCCTGGCTCAAACTTCTCCCCTCCCCTGACCTCTTTTCAGTTTAAGGACTGGTAGGGAAAGCTGAGGGCACTGAGAGTCACCATTTTGAAAACTCCCAAGGAAAATACAAAAGTCTGGGTGTATGTGGAGACAAGGCGGTGTGAGAGGAAAGTATGTGAACTCTGGAGCCAAAATCTTGGAGTACAAAGGTTGACGCTGTCACTTTCTAGCTGGATCTTCGGGGGCAAGTTACTTTAACCTCTTGGTGCTCAGTTTCCTGATTTAGAAATGGATGTAATTATAATGTCTGTCACATGAGGCTATTGTGAAGATTAGTGAATTAATTCATGTAAAATGTTTAAAAGAGGGCCTGACACGCAGTATTCAACATAGTTAGCTATTATTATTATTTTTAAAGATTTTATTTATTCATTTGACAGAGAGAGCATGATCGGGGGAGCGGCAGGCAGAGAGAGAGGGAGAAGCAGGCTCCCCACTGAGCAGGGAGCCCAATTCAGGCCTCGATCCCAGGACCCCAGGATCATGACCTGAGCCGAAGGCAGATGCTTAACTGGCTGAGCCACCCAGGCGCCCTTAGTTAGCAATTACTAATGCTGCCGCTGTCACTAGGCACCTTTAGTGTGTGGTACCAGAGGGGGCAGGAAGGGATAGGGGTTGTGGTTAAGGCAGGATTCACCACCAAGATCTAGTGGTTAGCAGTGGGATTTGGTCGAACACATTCTCCAGCCACACTTGTTCTAGAGATTTCTCTGTACCCTAGCAAGTAGACCCCCCCCCCCCCTCAGGATTTCCTGTTGCAGCATGCCATCTCCCTCTGAGCATTATTATTTGCAAGTTATCATCTTGCTCATTTTGTGTATCTTATTCGTTTGGCCACTTCTCTTGAGAAAGAGGACTTTGTCTTACTTAATAACAGCTAATGTATATTGAAGGTTTACTAAGTGCCAGGCACCGTTCTGAGCATGGCATGCTGTAACTTACTTCATCCTTGCAGTAACCCTATAAGGGAGGTGGTATTATTATCGTCAGCTTATAAATGACACATCTGAGAGGCATGGGATAATTTGCTCATCCATGGTCATTTTTCTTCAATGAATGAATGACCAAATGAAAGAATGAATGAATGGGGGGGCAAGAACTAAGGAAGATGTCATGGGAAGCTCTGGAAAAAAGAAAAAGACGAGATCACATCGGTAATTTCGGGAAGTGTCTTTGGGCTTGTCAGTGGGCTCCTTCCTCTGACCTCTCCTTTCTTTCTCCCACCCATTTGACCCCTAGGTTCAAGCCATTGCTGCCCAGTTGGTGTCCGCTCTGTACTATCTGCATTCCCACCGCATCCTCCACCGAGACATGAAACCTCAGAACATCCTTCTTGCTAAGGGTGGTGGCATCAAGCTCTGTGACTTTGGGTGAGGAGACTGACCTTCCGTCTCTGCTTCTCATTCTGCAGGGAGTCTCAGACCATATGCTTGACTTACCTACGCCTCATTTTAGAAGCTGAGCTGGAGACTGGGATTCCTGTTGGGTCTTTAGGAAGGTGCTCTCTGTGTGGGTTTGGGATAGCTCACATAATGATAGGTGGTAGTCACCAGGCCTAGTTTGTATTGATTATGGTCTCTCTTCCCATTTCCGTTCCATCATCTCCTGCAGATTTGCCCGGGCGATGAGCACCAACACGATGGTGCTGACATCCATCAAAGGCACACCACTCTATATGTCTCCAGAGCTGGTGGAAGAGCGTCCATACGACCACACCGCAGACCTCTGGTCTGTGGGCTGCATACTATATGAGCTGGCTGTAGGCACCCCTCCCTTCTACACTACGAGCATCTTTCAGCTGGTCAGCCTCATTCTCAAGGACCCTGTGCGCTGGCCGACCACCATTAGTCCTTGCTTCAAGGTAATGAACATAGAAAGGGAGATTACTTTGCATCCGAAACCTGTCTTTCTCTGCCCCTGTTCCCTTTTCCAAAATCTGGGGCAAGATTTTGCTGTTACCGAATGAATGCAGGAGTTGGGCCCAGCTGCCTTGCTTTTCTACTGCAGGGGCTGGTTCTGGGAGGCTGTTCTAAGGTCCGCCAAACCTGGGATTAGCAGCCCTTCCTTGGGGCAGGTTATTCTTTTTTTTTTTTTTTTTAAGATTTTATTTATTTATTTGAAAGAGAGAGAATGAGAGAAAGAGAGAGAGCACATGAGAGGAGGGAGGGTCAGAGGGAGAAGCAGACTCCCTGCCGAGCAGGGAGCCCGATGCGGGACTTGATCCAGGGACTCCAGGATCATGACCTGAGCCGAAGGCAGTCGCTTAACCAACTGAGCCACCCAGGCGCCCCGGGGCAGGTTATTCTTTATCACAATGAAAAGGTAATTTCAAGCCACCAGGGACAGATGCTGTCCTTTTACACACTCTCTATTCCACTTATTTCCTATCAGATGCAAGGTCCAGATGATATCTAGATTTGCCCACAGAACTTTCAGTCTTCCTGAAAGAAAGAATCTTTTTTTTTTTTTTTTAAGATTTTATTTATTATTTGACAGAGAGAGACATAGTGAGAGAGGGAACACAAGCAGGGGGCGTAGGAGAGGGAGAAGCAGGCTTCCCCGTGGTGCAGGGAGCCCGATGTGGGGCTCGATCCCAGGACCCTGGGATCGCGACCTGAGCCGAAGGCAGACGCTTAACGACTGAGCCACCCAGGCGCCTCCTGAAAGAAAGAATCTTAAGACATTCTGATGGCCAGAGCAAGTGGGGCCAGCTCAGCGATTAGGGACAGGTGACAGAGGTGGTGCCTATTGATTGCACCTAAGTCTCAGTGGGGGAGGGAGGGTTGGAGGGAGGGAGGAAAAAGAGTTGACCCTTTTTATTTCTTATCTAGGGCAAAATTTGGACCCTCAATGGAATTTAAATGCAACCTTTTCCCAGAGTGCAGTCTCATTATAACTTTCCCTTGCTCTAAGATGAAAAGGGACAAGTTTCTCCCCAACCTATTTAGTTGGGAAAGCTCAGTAATTATCAAAAAGAATCTAAACAAAAGAAACTTGAGTGGGTGATAGGCATAGGATATTCCATTCTCCCTTAGAGCAGACATGCAGGCATCTTCATTCAGCAAGAGCCACAGATGGCACCTTGTTTTAGAACAGTGGTCATCATCTACCAGTACCTTCTATTCCTATTTTAGGCCCAACTGAGGATTTTCCCAAGGATACCTCATAACAGATGTACCCTTTGCAGAGGCAGTCTCCCTTCCCCACCACCATCTGAAGACTATCTGAAAGATTTCTGTTTTTGCGTGCTCCCAAACCTGTCTTTATGCAATGACTTGTGTGTGAGTGTGCATCTGTTCCTACCAAGCTGCAAACAAACCCACAATCAGAGGGAAGGCACAGTGAGCCATTTGGACCCCTTTGAATGTTTGCTTTCTGAAGATGATTGTGAAGGTGACAGAATGTCTCTGGACAGGATGTGGAGCTCTCCAGGAGGGGAGGCAGTGAAGTCTGTTCCTGGGGCCAGGGAAATGAGGCCTGAGGATAGGATTAGAGAGGATGTGGTTAAGACCATCTAGTTTGCTGAAGGAATGGGCTCAGGAGTCTTGGTTTCCTGCTTCTGCTGGTGAGTTAAAGAGAGCCTGTAGGAAAGCGAAGACCCATGGGGTATTTTTTTTCTCTCCACAGAGCTTCCTGCAGGGACTGCTCACCAAGGACCCTAGGCAGCGTCTGTCCTGGCCAGACCTCTTACATCACCCCTTTATAGCTGGCCGTGTCACCAGTGAGTGCTTATGGTCCCCAGGGCTTTCGCACTTCCCTGGGCTCTTCCCAATCTACCCCCTTCCCCAGTGTCTGGATGCAGCGCATCTGCTTTACCTTACCAGCTCGAACTTTCTTCCTCGCCCTTTGCCTAACCTTTGCCACTTCCCTTGCCACCCCACTCCCTCTTTGTCACGTTGTCAAGATGGTCTCCTTCCACAGAAGCCTGAGGACACTGTCATTGTCTCTGGCCAAGTGGAGATGGTGGCGCAGCTCTAGCATGATCACGCATTCTCCCTCTTCCTTCCCTACAGTAATAACTGAACCAGGAGGCCCAGATTTGGGCACTCCATTCACCAGTCGCCTACCCCCAGAACTTCAGGTCCTAAAGGACCAACAGGTGCATCAGCTGGCCCCCAAGGGCAATCGATCTCGCATCTTGAGACAGGCCTGTAAGCGCATGGCTGAGGAGGCCAAGCAGAAGGTATGTAGGACAGAGGGGATAGGGACATGACCAGGTTAGCGACTGGGGAGGTTGGAGAAGGAAGGTTGATGAAGGGCCATGAATAGGATTCATACTGCCCTAAGGCAACCAAATAGTTTTGATTCAGTGTCTCCTGCCCACTGCCCACAGAAACACCAGAACACAGGACCTGCCCTTGAGCAAGAGGATAGGACCAGCAAGATGGCTTCTGGCACAGCCCCTCTGCCTAGACTAAGAGCCACTCCTCAGGAACCAGGCCTCTTGGCTGGGATCTTGGCCTCAGAAATGAAGAGCAGCTGGGCTGAGTGGGGGGCTGGAGAGGCCCCCCCTGCACCTCGGTGAGGAGGGGGTAGCCAGGAATTTATAGGGTGAGGTATCTTGCAGATCTTTGGCTTTTGCCAAAGCAAATACAACATGGTGCCTGTCACTAGCCACCGCCTCGTGGGGACAGGGCCCTGGGAGTCTGAGTCCTGGGTTCTTGAATTCTGATTCTGGCTATTTTCCTAATTCATCAGGAATCATGGGAATTTTCCTTTCTCTATGCCTCAGTTGCACACTGACTGAAAAGGAAAGAATTGTTTCCATGCAAAAGGGAAGATTATTTGAGTTGAGAGCTACAGGTGAAAACTGCCAAGGTAGACTTGACAGTAAGATTCAAAGTGGAAGGGCAGTCAAGGATACGTGTGGAGTGGTCAACATCCTGTCCTGGCCATATCCTAGAAGAAAGCTCTCCCCTATCCAATCCTGTATGGCTTGTTCTTCATTCTTATCTTGGACCTAGAGTGAGGGACGTGTTAATGCACCTTGAACCTCACAGGTCAGTAGGAGCCTCCTACTCCCTGTTCCTCTGGCAGGGAAAACCAGATCACTCAGGATTGTGAACGAGTTCTCCCAGAGCTGAGGCCAGAGGTGGTGGGCCAACGGAGCATTGATGCGGTGGACCTAGAAAATGAGGTAAGCCCTAGAGGCTCCACTTGGCCTTGACCCTGCCATGGGATGTTGGGTCTGGGTAGATGTTTTTCTAGAACACTGATTCCCAGCTATCCCAAGTATGAGCTCCCCTTATGTTAAAAATTGATTTCTTATTATCAGTTTGTAGATTTTAATTGCATAGCATCTGAACAGGTAATTATAAAAAAATTGGAACATACGGGTAAGAATGAAAGTCCCTCTTGAGCCTTACCCCAATCCCAGTGGTGTCTGCTGTTATTAGTTTGTCTTTCTTCTTCCAAACTTGCTGAATTTTTAGATATGTACATGCACACGCAGAAATCTATAGTTTGGCTGTTTTTGGTTACTGAGTTCACACCGCATGTACTGTTTTACATCGTGCCTCACTTACCATATGATCTGTTTTGGAGATCCTTCTACATCTGAACATGTCATTTTTGGGGGGTTTATTTTGAAATAGTTTCAAACTTAAAGAGTAGTTGTGAGGATGCCACAAAGAATTCCTGTATACCCTTCGCACAAATTCACCAACTGTTAAAATTTTGCCGCATTTGCTTTCTGATTCTCTCTCCCTAGATATCTGCATATGGGTAAATCCTCTTTCTTGAGTTGTTGTAGCGTAAGATGCAATCTGTCCCTTTACCCCTAAATAGTGCATATTGCTGAAGAACAAGACCATTAACCTACACCACTCTAGTACAGTTACAGAAGTCAGAAATTTGATACTGATACGATTCCGTTACTTCGTCTATGATCCATATTCAAAGTTTGCCAGTTGGTCCAATAATGTTCTTTATAGGGGGAAAAAAAAATTTCCCAGCCCATGCTCCAATCTGGTGTTAGGCACTGTGTTTAGTTGTTACACTTCATTAGTCTCCTCTAATCTGGAATCATTCCTAGTCTTTTTTTGTTTTTCATGACTGACAGTTTTGAGGTACAAAAGCCAGTTATTTTGTAGAATGTTCCTCAAATTCATACTTTCTCGTGATGAGATTCACGTATGCAGTTTTGGTGGGAATACCGCATAGGTGGTGCATCCCCAGTTCTATAGTCTTTTTAATAACTTCATAATATTTCCTAAGATGGATGTGCCATGACTTATTATTCCCTTACTGATTGGCTTTATGACACTTCCAATTTTTTTTTTATTATAAACCATGCTGCAGTAGACCTAATTGTAAGTATCTCTTTATGAACACGTGCCAGTATTCTCCGAGAGACTTTTCAAGACCCCTCCCGCACGGCCAACTCTGCCTTTGTAAACTGGTTGTTGAAACATATATATCTGGGCTGAAGAATTCACTGGTTCTTGCGTTTGCTCCATGATTCCCCAGGTTGAGCGCACCTACCCTTAAACCCGACACGCTCCTGACCTCTTTCACTCCCCTATACCTCAGGAGCCAGACAGCGACGATGAGTGGCAGCACCTGCTAGAGACCGCTGAGCCTGTGCCCATCCAACTGAAGGCCCCTCTCACTCTGCTGTGCAATCCTGACTTCTGCCAGCGCATCCAGGGCCAGCTGCATGAGGCCGGGGGGCAGGTAACGGACACACGCAATGGGATTTTGGACTATGGTAATCACAGATGAGGCGTTAAAAAACTTGAGGAGAAAAAGAAAGTTTGTCCCTTTTCAGTTCTTTTTCAATTCATCTATTTAATTCAAGATTTGCTAGCCTCCTTTAGTAACACAGAAAGAACAGGCCTCGGCTCTCTAAATTAAATCAATCTTTAAATAAAGGGGGCGCCTGGATGGCTCAGTCAGTTAAGTGTCTGGCTCTTGATTTCGGTTCAGGTAATGATCTCAGGGTTGAGACCCAGTCCCGCCTCTGGTTCCATACTCAGTGGGGAGTCTGCTTGAGTTTCTTCTCTCCCTCTCCCTCTGCTCCTCCACCTCCTGAGCATGCACACTCTCTCTTTCTCTCTAATAAATAAATACATATTTTTTATAAAGATTTTATTTATTTATTTGAAAGAGAGAGAGAACATGAGTGGGGGTGCAGGCAGAGGGAGAAGCAGGCTTCCTGCTGAGCAGGGCTCGATCCCAGGCTCGATCCCAGGACCCTGGGATCATGATCTGAGCTGAAGGCAGATGCCCAACCGACTGAGCCACTCAGGTGCCCCCATAAGTAAATAAGTCTTAAAAAAAAAAACCCAAAACAGGCCTGGATTTTCTCTTTTTGAAGGGAAAAGCATTCATTTAGAGCAGGGGTTGGCAAACTTGGATGGTAAACGTTTCGGGCATTGAAGAGCAAGAGGCAAAAATGGAGGATGTTATTAAGTACTTCTGGAATGAGAGAAAGCACTTTTCCACATAATTTTTATTGATGATGATGTGATCAGCACTGGGTGTTATACACAACTGATAAATTACTGAATACCACATCTGAAATTAATGATGACATATGTTGGCTAATTGAATTTAAATAAAAAAATTTTGTTGATGAAATTAAAAATATAGATATAAGTGTATAAGAGCTTCTGATACAGGTATACTAATGAGAAGAACGAGATTCTTTTTTAAAGGATAACAGTTCGCTTAATTGGCATTCATAATTAGTGTTGTTTATTCACCAGCTGATGGACATTTGAATTGTTTCAACTTTTTGGCTTTTATGAATAATGTCTCCATGAACATTCACATGGAAGTCTTTGTGTGGACATACGTTTTCTTTTTTCTCCCTTGATATCTAGGAATTGCTGGGTTGCATGGTAATTTATATTTACCATTTTAAGAAGCTGATAAACTATTTTCCAAACTGGCTGCCTCATTTTGCATTCCCATCAGCACTGTGTGAGGGTCTCCGTTTCTCCACATTCTTGCCAGCATGTATTGTCTGTTTTTATCACAGCCCATTCTAGTGAATGTGAAATCATGTCTTATTGTCATTTTAATTTGCATTTTGCTAATAACTAATGTGGAGCATCTTTTCATGTGCTTATTAGCCCTTTGTATATCTTCTTTGGTGAAATGTCTATTCGGTTCTTTTGCTTATTTTTAAGTTGGGTTGTTTGTCCCCTTGAGTTGTAAGAGTCCTTTGTATATTCTGGATAGGAGACCTTTATCAGATATGTGGTTTGCAAATATTTTCTCTCAGTCTATGGTTTGTTCTTTTATTTTCAGAAGAGTGTTTTTTGAAGCACAAAGGTTTCGAATTTTGATGATGTCCAATTACCATTTTTTTTCTTTTGTGGTTTATGCTTTTGGGTTATATGGAAGAAATCTTTTCCAGACCCAAAGTCTGGAAGATTTTCTCCTATGTGTTTTCTAAAAGTTTTTTAGTTGGAACTGTAGCATTTAGGTCTCTGGCCCATTTTTTGAGTTACTTTTTGTATATAATGTGAGGTAGGGATCTAAGTTCATCTTTTTGCATGTGGCTATAGAGTCGTCCCAGCACCCTTGGTCCAAGACTCTCCTTTCCCCATTGAATTGTCTTGGCACCTTGCACCTCCCTTCTGGGCCTTCCATGCTGTCCTTGTAGTGGGTGGTAACTTCAGTAGGGAGGCAGGCGAAAGGCTCTGCCTCCAGGGTAAGTCTTGTGAAGTTGGAATTCCAGCGGAACTACCCTTCAGCTGTGTGGTAATTGACTCCTTACCTAACCTGTGTAGAGGCTTTAGTCTTCTCATCTGTAAAATGGATAATTGTTTACTGTGCACTGTGATTGTAAAGAGTAAATGAACAAATAAGTGAAAAGATTTAGAAAAAGAGGATGACAGGGGCGCCTGGGTGGCTCAGTTGGTTGGGCAGCTGCCTTCGGCTCAGGTCACGATCCTGGAGTCCCGGGATCGAGTCCCGCATCGGGCTCCCTGCTCAATGGGGAGTCTGCTTCTCCCTCTGACCCTCCCCCCTCTCATGTGCTCTCTCTCTCATTCTCTCTCTCTCAAATAAAAAAAAAAAATAGAAAATAAATCATTTAAAGAAAAAGAGGATGACATATTATAAAGCACTTGACGTAAATGTTATTCTTTTTTGAAGAGTAACTTTTTAAAGAATAACCCTTTAAAAGTATCATAGTGCCCTTATCTTGCAGGTTATATATAAATAAGTGACGGACTGGATTTGGCCTGTGGGTCATAGTTAGTCAAGTCTTGATCTAGAGTTAGATAGTTCGTTTTATCTGTTTGGAGTTGAATGACATTGTTTTGTGTCTGTTGTTTTAATCTTTGGAAGTATGTGCATGTGTGTGTGTGCATGCCTGCGTGCCTGTGTGTGTGTTTAAGGCGAAGGGCTGGAGAAGGGACCGAGCAGATAGGAATGGCACTGGGTCCCACAGAGACTGAGGGGAGGTCCCCTTTCCCTTGGTCACTTCCCTGGCTCTCTTTCCCTTTTTCTCTGTTCTCCTTCCCTGGGTTTTAGAGTCCCAAGGAAAGGAGTGAGAACATTTGGTCTGCTTTGCCAGCTCCTTGGGGACTGGTATTTGTCACCCTCCTTTTCCTTCTGATAATATCGATTACTATTTGTTTCCCTCACATCACCCAGATCCTGAAAGGCATGCTGGAGGGTGCATCCCGTATCCTTCCGGCACTCCGAGTCCTGAGCAGTCTTCTGTCTAGCTGCAGTGACTCCATTCCCTTGTACTCCTTCTGCCGCGAGGTGGGGCTCCCCGGGCTCCTGCTCAGCCTGCTCAGACACAGCCAGGAATGCAACAGTATCCAGCAGGTAAGCCCTACGCAGGGAGCCTGGGAGCCTCGGAAGACATATAGGAGTTTCTTCACCTTGGATCTCTCTTCTTCAAATTTCCTCTTCTCCAGTTTCTTCACCTTGGATTTCTATTCGGTCCCCCGCATTTTCTTTTCTTTCCTCTTGTCTAGTTAGTAGATGATGAGTTGCAAACTCTGCTGCCCTCTGAGGCCAGACAGATCCTGTCAGGCGGGAAAGTAGAGTCTGTGTGACCATATGAGTAGTGGAGAGTACGATAAACTGGAGAGCTTGTGCCCAAGCTGAATGGGACATCCCCTCAGTTCCAGCTCACTGCTGCCCATGAGAACATGGGCCCAGTGTTACCAGATCTTCCAGTTTTCTAAGAGAAGCTAGAAATCCAAATTTGTATGCACAGTTTCCCAATCTTTAGAGTGCTGTGTTTTGGAATGTTAAATCCTAGGCTTTTGTTGCCCTGATTTTATAGAACAGAGTACTGAAATTCAGAGATTCACCAACTTATACACAGGCACTAACTTGTAAATGGTCTCAGGGACGATGAGTGGAGGAGCTAGGATTGAGGCTCAGTGTGTCTGAGGCTGAGTCCCCCCTCCCCCTACTGTGTTCTGCTGTGGCTGAGCTGAGAGGACAGAATACTGAAACGTTTAATGGGGCCTCAGCTCAGGCAGCTGAAAGCTGCATTCTGCGCATGAGTGCTAACCTTGAGTGTTTTTAAGGAGTTTCGAGAAGAATTTGAGCTATTTTGAAAAACATAGCCTCCTAAACTCCTAAATCCTATTCTGGCCACACAGGACACATTTTTAGGCTGCTTATTGCCCACTGGCCGCCACTTTGTGACCTCTAGATTTCCCCTTTCTGTCTGGATGCTCTCTTCCCTCTGCCCCTTCCTGTTTGGTCAACCTGCCTGGATATTGGACACCTTTTTTTTTTTTTTTTTTTACTGCTTTTTCTCTTCTTTGTCTCCATCCTCTCCATTGCCCTTACTCTCTGTCCTCTTGCCTGGCAGCAATGTTGGTATGGGACCTTCTCACGGGACCTGATGGCCGTGATCCAGGCCTACTTTGCCTGTACCTTCAATCTGGAGAGGAGCCAGACAGGTGACAGGTGGGATGAGAGCCAGCTTTGCTCCGTTGGCCACTTTGGCTTCAATTTCTACCCCCATTTCTTCCCCTCTCTGTTAGGAAGAGGCTAAGTAAGGAGAAGCCGACAGGTTAGGGATCAGCTGACTGACCGCTGAGGGTCTAGCTAATCCTCCTAAGGACCCTGAGACCCCTCTAAGTTAACCCCAAGACTTGCAGGTTCTAAGGGTCACCATACACTAAATGGAAGGGTCACAATATAAATAACCTAGAGAAAATGGCAAAGAAAGGGCTAGAAGGTTGTGTATAGAAGACTGTGTGTGTGTTTAGCAGGGGAGAGGGGAGGGAGCATTCTGAGATGTTCCTTTGCAGAGATTCTCCTACCTGCCCAGAACTGACCCATTTACCACATGTGGGCTTTTAGAGAGATGGGCTATTTTTTCCCAGCCTGCAGGTGTTTCAGGAGGCTGCCAACCTCTTTCTGGACCTGTTGGGGAAACTGCTGGCCCAACCAGATGACTCTGAGCAGACCTTGCGGAGGGATAGCCTTATGGTAATCTGCTCCCTTGTCCAGATTTCTGTCTTTGACGTATTTCCCCGTGTTTCTCCCTTCCCCTTTCTTATAACTATACAGGGTTAGGTCAAGGTAATACAACAGACATTTACCGACTGTGTGCCATATGAGTAAGAGAAAGTCCCCGTCTTCAAGAGACTAGAAAGAGTCTAGTAGGAGAGATGAAAAATGATCAAGGACAATAGCGTGACAAGTACATTAGAACTTACATAAAACTTGTATGAAATACAGAAGCACCACTGAAGAAGATATGATTAATGCTACTTGGAGAGTCATAGAAGAAGTCTTGAAGGAAATCATCTTTGCTAGGATTTGAAGAACTCATAGAAGTTTGCCAGATGGGTGAGGCAGGAAGTAGGGAGGACAGTCCAGGCAGAAGGAGTAGCATATATAAAGATCTAGAGGCATTAAGCACTGTGGCCTATTTCAGGGAACCACAAGTTGAAGTATTCCTTTTTAAAGAGACTTGCAGATGGGCTAGTATTTCCCAAACTTACTTGTCCTGTGGACCAGTAAACTAGTGGGTTCTCATCCCTAGACTGTGGAGGTGAGGGACCGGAGAATGGAGGATTGAGCAAGAGGATAGCTGAGTTCTGACTGATCTCAGAGGAGACAGTTAGCAACATCAGCAAGGAAGTAAGCAATTGCCTAGTCATTGTTCAAACTGGCAGTGGGGGACACAGATCTGGACTGCATTTCTGCTTCCAACTAGCAGTCCATTCAAACTCTTCTAGTCTGAGAGCCTGTTTTAACATCCCTCACCCTTTCGAGTCAGGAAGCTTTTCCAATGCCTAACCTAAATTTTGGCCATCAGCAACTTATGTTATTGGCCAGCATTTATCCTATATGTCACTGTGTAGCGACTGCATAGGGAGTTTGGAATAAACACACCACCTCCCGAAATTCTGAACCAGTAGGACTGGGTTGGGAGGGACCCAGGAATCCCCAGGAATTCTCATACTCATGGTCCATAGATAACACTTTGAGGAACATTATCTAGGAGGCAGCTGATCAGAGAATAGAAGGATTGACACCTAAAATTGCCATTCTTTAAAACGTGAGGGTGGGGCGCCTGGGTGGCTCAGTCGTTAAGCGTCTGCCTTCGGCTCAGGTTATGATCCCAGGGTCCTGGGATCGAGTCCCACATCAGGCTCCCTGCTCAGCGGGAAGCCTGCTTCTCCCTCTCCCACTCCCCCTGCTTGTGTTCCTGTTCTCGCTGTCTCTCTCTGTCATATAAATAAAATCTTTAAAAAAAAAAAAGATTAAAAAAATAAAAATAAAACATGAGGGTGATTATAATGCATTTTCTGTGCGAGGAACACTTTGAATGGCACTGCTGGTCCCTCTGGGTTTTCTCCTTTTTGCTTAGGTTCTCTGGGGGATTCTTGCTCCTTACCCTAAGCCCCGTCACTTTTCTGCTGCCCTCATGTCAACCCTGTCCTTGTCTCCCTTAGTGCTTTACTGTTCTGTGTGAAGCCATGGATGGGAACAGCTGGTCCGTCTCCAAAGCCTTTTACTCCAGCCTGCTGACAACTCAGCGGGCGGTGCTGGACGGGCTGCTCCACAGCTTGACAGTTCCCCAGCTCCCTTTCCACACACCCCCAGGTAACCAGAGTACGGCGCGGAGGTTCTCTTGACTCCAGAGCAACTCTGGCTCTGCGCCCCCCCACCCCTGCCTCAACTGCCATTGCCTTGAATGATGCCTGGCATTTAGTGAGCACTCAGTAACTAACTGTGTGCTGTGTGCTAAAAGAATGAACCGGGAGCTGAGAGAAACGACCAGACCACACCCTGCATTCTTTGCCCTTTCTCTATAGGAGCCCCCCAAGTGAGCCAGCCTCTGCGGGAGCAGAGCGAGGATCTGCCTGGAGCCATGTCCTCTGCATTGGCAGCCGTCTGCACTGCTCCGGTGGGGCTGCCCAGCTGCTGGGAAGCCAAGGAGCAGGTCTGAGCTGCAGTGTCTGCTTCCTCTCGTCTGGGTTGCTGGAGATGAGGAAGCTGGCCTCAGTTTCTCAGGAAGGCAGAAAAACAAGCCTTTATACTTCTCCTTACTCTGTACTTCCAGCAACAGATGCTCCTACCCTGGGTCGGGGCCACTTGTAGAACATGATGTCACCAAGATACCAGAGCCCTTGGCCAGCTCGTTAGAGAGCTCAGTGACAAACTGCCCGTGTGGCAGGGTGGCTGATCCGAAGCCACCCGTGATGCTTCCTCAATGGCTCAGGATTTAGATTTCCTGCCCCCTTTTGGCCAGCAACACTTTCCTCTGTACCTGCCTACACTAGCGCTAAACTAGGCCATGACCTTTGGTTCTCCACTGGCCATGAGGACTGGGGATGGGATGGGGTCTGAGGTTCCTGGTGAATCTGAGGGAGAGTGGCGAGCAAGGCGTTGAGAAACCTGATTCATTGGAGATAGGAGAGGAATAGGATGGGAATCATGGGAATGGGATGGAGGCTTCACGTATGTTCCTACAGATCTCTCAGCATTTGGCCCATCAGCTCACTGAAGACAGTAACCAACTGAGGCCATCCCTTATCTCTGGCTTGCAGCATCCCATCCTGTGCCTCCACCTTCTCAAGGTACTGCCTGTCCAAAACCCTTGGGACTTCAGATTTCTTTTCTTTTCTTTTATTTTTTTTAGGGGGGAAGGGACAGAGGGAGAGGGAGAATCTTCAGCAGGCTCCACGCTGGGTGTGGGACTCGGGTCTGGATCTCACGACCCTGAGATCGTGACCTGAGCTGAAATCAAGAGTCAGACTCTTCACCGACTGAGCCACCCAGGTGCCCCAGATTTCTTTGCAATCCCCAGGACTGAGAGAGAGAGAAAGAAAGACACTGAGAAAGACAAGAGACCCCAGAGGGTCCCTTTCTGCTTTTAAATCTATTCCACTGAGATGACACCACTGTCAGCCAGTCCCCTCCAGAGCCTAGAAGTAGCCTGATCTCACTGTCCTATAGCAAGAGGTGGAAGTGGCCTGGACTTCTCTACTACCTCCACGGTGGATGCTAGATCTGTTGAGAGGCCAGCCTGCTTCTCAGCTCAGGGGCTGCTGAGCCTCACTGACAGACTGCTTCCCCCTTCCTCAGGTTCTTTACTCCTGCTGCCACGTCAGTGAGCGCCTGTGTCATCTTCTAGGGCACGAGCCCCTGGCCTTGGAGTCACTGTTGATGTTGGTCCAGGGCAAGGTAGGCCAGCAACACAGGCAGGTATATCATGGTGGCCCCGCTGTCTCAGTCAGAAGTTGCTCTGCTATCTAGGGTTTCCTTTGTAGGTAAAGGTAATGGATTGGGAAGAGTCTACCGAAGTAGCACTCTACCTCCTCTCCCTTCTTGTCCTCCGGCTGCAAGATCTGCCTTCTGGGTAAGTCACGAAGGGGGGTCTCTCCACTGGAATCTTCCATCCCCACAGCTCACCCTGTTACAAAATATGGGGGAATAGCACCTTGCAGCCTATCTTTAGGAGGGATTGGGATAGAGAGAGTGAAGTCTTCTCTGCAAAGAGCAGACCTAGCTTCCCACCAACTCTGTGTCTTGGCGGGGGTCGTACAGCCCCTGGGGAGAGTGCCGTCCAGCAGGAAGGGAGGCCACTCGCCAGCCTCCTTTTCCCTGGCTGCACCCTTTGATGTATCTCCTTTTTCCAGAATGGAGAAGCTGGGCAACGAGATTGCTACTCTGTTTACCCATTCACACATCGTCTCTGTCGTGGTGAGTTTTCAGCTTTCTTCTTCCTCCCCTTTTCACCCTGCCATCCGGCCCTTCGGGGAGCACGGGCGACACTGTCCCAGTAGCAGCCGGTTCTGAGGCCGTCCGTGGGGCCGGACGGAGACGTAAATCCTCTCTGCCTGTCCTGCCTGCTGTGCAGGTTCAGACATTCTTTCTCCTCTGACTCCTCTCAGAGCGCAGCAGCCTGTCTGTTGGGACAACTTGGTCAGCAAGGGGTGACCTTCGACCTCCAGCCTGTGGAGTGGATTGCAGCAGCCTCACACGCTCTGTCTGCCCCTGCGGAGGTGAGGCGGGCTGGGGAGGACACAGACCTCTCTGACCGGACCCAGGACTCCGTTCAGGGGAAAAGACTGAAGCGCCAGCCCGCCTGGGGCAAACCAAGGGGTGGGAAGGGAGCCAAGGGGTCTTTCCTTTCCTCTGTGTCTGCCCCCAGATAACAGCCCCCTCTGAGCCCAGACTCACAGGCAAGGAGGGAGAGAGGGAGGGGGACCCGAGTTACCCGAGGATGAGATTTCCCTGCCTGCTCTAGTCCCCTCCTCCAGCAGCTCCTGCTCCTGTTGTTTAGGTCTTTTCAGAAGCTTCATCTCTTCCCCTCTGCCTGCAGTTTGCACTCCCTGGCCCCCTCATTCTCCTTAACTGAGGTGGAAAAGGTGGCTGGCATTCTGAGAACTCTTCAGGAATCCCGTCCGCCGTGTAGCCTCCTTTCCACTTTCTCCTTTTCCAGGCCTTCCCCTCTCCTCCTTTTTAGATATTTTGGAACCTGTATTTCTCTCATTCTGTAAAAAGAAGGATAGACTTCATATTCAGATGATTGTCATCCTTACAGACACAGAATTCCTTATAACTTAAAAGCACTTCACATGTTATCCCACAACATGCTTGAAAGAGAGACACATGAAATGTAATGATACTCACCTGCTTTTTCCAGATGAAGTTGAACTTCAGAGAGGTGGTAGGGATGGCATTCCCATTCATCCAGGAGCCCCAGTCAGAAACCTGGGAGTCCTCATAGACTGTGCCCTCTGCTCCATTATTCCACCATCTAGATGGTTCCCCCAGGCCCTATGTGCTCTGCCTTCCTATCATCTCTCAGATCTTTTGCTGCCTGCCACCGTCATGGTCCTGCCTTAGTTTGTGGGCATATCATCGATCTTGCACTGTGGCGCTTGCCTGCTGAAGGATCTCTTTTCTAGACTCTCTCCTCTCCAGTCCATTCTCTTCACTGCCACCAGGGTGAGCTTTCTTAAAAGTCCAGTCATTTGTTCAACCAGTAAGTATTTAGCACAGAAATGTGTATTGAGGACCAGACACTATTCTGGGCTCTGAGGATACTGCAGTGAATAAAAGAGATAAAAATCTTGCCCATGTGGACGTTGCATAAGTCCTCAGTGGCTTTGCACTGTTTCCGGGATAGAGTCCAGACTCCTTTACCTTCTCCTCAGAGCTCATCTATTTCCTCTGGGCTCTATAATCTTGTTACACCAGGACTTACCACTTCCAAAGGTCACAGTCATCGTTGATGAGCTGCTTTATTTATGCTATCCGTTCTACTTGGAATGCTCTCCCTTCCTACCACCTCCTTCTCTTGACTGCCTTTTAAACTTCTAATTCATCAGTGTTCTACCTCCAGAAAGTAGAGTTAGGTCCTCTCCACTGTGTCTCCACCCCCACCCCAGCCTCTTGTCTAGCAAGTATCTTCTTACCCTACCAGTCTATGTGTCTTTGGGACAGAGGTAGTCATTGAATGAATAGTCAGGAACCAAGACTCCTAAGTCCAGAAGAGCTCTCCCCACTGCCCTGGGCTGAGGAAGAGCTCTTTCTGCCTGACCAGGAGTTGCATGCACAGGACCTGCATTCTCCCTGCCTCTCTCCAACAGGTCCGGCTGACCCCGCCAGGTAGCTGTGGATTCTACGACGGCCTCCTTATCCTCCTGCTGCACCTCCTCACCCAGGTATGGGTGCCTCCTAGACTAATGAGCTGCTAGACAATAGGAATGAAGAAGCAACCCATACTCGCCTCTTCGGTCAAATTAGGGTGCTCATGATAGCCTTCGAATGGGCCCACCTGCCCTCAGCACGGACCCTTTCTGGGGAATCACAGCTGCCTCCGTCAGGATTCAGTGGGGGAGGAGAGCCATAATTCCCTGGTTCCCAGCAGACACACACATGGGTTAAGATGTGAGAAGAAAGGAACTCAGACAATAGGGAAATCCCAGGTTTTTGGGAAAACAGAGGAATTATTTCTAGGACTCTCTTTCTTTGGAGGTCAGGGATAAGAGTGGGGGGAAAAAAAAGGCATTTTGAGGCCTGACCTCAACCTCCCTACCCACCCTCCTTCAATTTCCTCTCCAGCCAGGGAAGGGTAGCCTGATAAGGGACGTGGTTAGCTCAGAAATGTGGACCGTTCTGTGGCACCGCTTCTCCATGGCCCTAAGGCTCCCCGAGGTGGTGTCTCCACAGGAAGAGGAGCCGTCGCTGTCTAGGCCACAAAACCCAGAGCCAGACTGGACGCTGATCTCACCCCAAGGTATCTTTCCATCGGCATGGCCTCCGTTGTAGGGCCAAAGTGTTGATCCCTCTTCAAGAGGAGGAGATTGCCGCGACCGTTGCCGCCTGGGAAGAGGATGGCGCGGGCCACGCTGGGTGGGAAAGGGACTAAGCAAGTGGAAGCCCTGGGAGCCCTGGAGAAGCAGGAGCACCTAGGCCTCTTGCCTGCCCCACTGGGTCTCCATTCTGGGTATTTCCAGGCGTGGCAGCCCTGCTGAGCCTGGCCATGGCCACCTTCACCCAGGAGCCCCAGTTATGCCTGAGCCACCTGTCGCAGCATGGAAGTATCCTCATGTCCACCCTGAAGCATCTGCTTTCCCCCAGCTTCCTGCATCAGCTGGGCCGGGCGTGAGTCAGAGCTGGAGGAGAGAGTCTGCAGGGCGGGGTGGGGAGGGGGAGTCAGGAGAGCTGTCGCTGAGAACACGAGCTATGAGGGAAGCAGTGGGATGGGTGAGGTTGGGCAAGTGGAGCTGGGATTTGAGAAGGGGGCGGAGAATGGTAAAGGGCGGGTGAGCAAACCGAGTTGGGCCTTCCACGCTGCCCTCCTTAGGCCTCACGGGTCTGAGTTTCTCCCGCTCGTGGTGCTGTCTGTCTGCCGGCTCCTCTGCTTCCCCTTCGCCCTGGATGTGGACGACGACCTCCTCGGAGGTGTCTTGGCTGACTTTGGGGCCTCAGAAGTCGCAGCCCACCTGCTTCAGGTACTTGGGAAGCTCCTCAGGCGCGACAGTCGGGGAGGAGGATGGCCAACCCTGTGTACTCGAATTCACTTGCCAACAGCTCCAAGGCTCTCCTGGGCCCCGGAGAGAGTGGAGGGTCTGACTCCATCTAAGGGCTGGGAGTGGAGAAAGCATCCAGGCCTGAGCAGAGGCATTGTTGGGGGCTGGGGTTGGCACCCCCCCCTCTCTCCATCAGTCCCTCATCTGGATCCGTTGGAGCTCCGTGGGGAGGACATCCCAGGCTAGGCACTGGATACTCAGCTCCTCAGCCAGGAATCACCTCTCTGGCAATTCTTGGCACTAAGCAGTGGGCCTCTGAAAGCAGAGCAAGCGCGTCCTTGCAGAGCAAGGAATGATCTTGTACCTGTTCTCCTGGGCTCCACACTGGGTCTCACGTGACAGGCTTGGGTCAGGTCTTCTGGTTCTCTGTAGTATTTCGCAGCATAGCTTGGCTTTTCTCTCTGCCAGAGCTTGGGCTCCTTTGAGCTACCTCACTGCAGTGAGTGCTCCCTCTCCCTGAACCCGTTTTGCCTACTGCCCTGCCCCTCTGTCCCCAGGTCTGCTGCCACCATCTTCTGCTGCCTCAAGTTGAGTTGCCTGTCAGTCTCCTCACCCGCCTGGCTCTTATGGATCCCACCTCTCTCAACCAGTTTGTGACCGCGGTGGCTGCCTCCCCTAGACCTGTCATCTCCTTCCTCTCAGTTGCCCTCCTGGGTGACCAGCCACTGCTAACCTCCGACCTTCTCTCCCTGCTGGCCCACACAGCCCGAGTGCTGTCTCCCAGCCACTTGTCCTTTATCCAAGAACTCCTGGCTGGCTCTGATGAATCCTACCGGCCCCTGCGGAGTCTCCTGGGCCACCCAGAGAATTCTGTGCGGGCCCGCACATATGGGCTCCTGGGACACTTGCTGCAACACAGCATGGCCCTGCGTGGGGCGCTGCAGAGCCAGGCGGGGCTGCTCAGCCTCCTGCTGGTGGGGCTTGGAGACAAGGACCCGGCTGTGCGGCGCAGTGCCACCTTTGCTGTGGGCAACGCAGCCTACCAGGCTGGTCCCCTGGGGCCTGCCTTGGCTGCTGCTGTACCCGGTATGACCCAGCTGCTTGGAGACCCTCAGGCTGGCATCCGGCGCAATGCCGCGTGGGCTCTGGGCAACTTGGGGCCTGAGGGGCTGGGGGCAGAGCTGTTACAATGCCAAGTACCCCAGCGGCTCCTAGAGATGGCGTGTGGAGACCCCCAGCTAAATGTGAAGGAGGCCGCCCTCATTGCCCTCCGGAGCCTCCGACAGGAGCCCTGCATCCATCAGGTACGCCCCTGGGGACTCGTGGACCACAACAGTGGGGTTGTATTTCACAACATCTTTCTGAGGTAGTCTTTTAAGGAATCGGGACACCCATAAATCCCCTTGTCCGGAAGTGGGAGATGACACACTCATCTCCCATCTCCCACCCTGGAGAAGGGAAGGAGTGCAGGAGAGGGTTCCGATGAGTGGGAAGTTCCTGGGATCTCAAGGACCAGGCTTTCTGTCTTGCTGTGTGGGATGGAGGTGAGGACACACTAGGCCATGTTGAGGCATAGAGGGATTTCATCTTGGGGGCCGTGAAGCAGCTAACCGTCTTTTTTCAGCCCTCCACCATGTGACAAGCAGCATGCTAAGCATTTTACCTTTGTTACTTAGTTGAAGCTATTATAGTCCTCATTTTGCAGGTGAGGACACTGAGGCACTAAGAATTTTAAGAACTTGTCCAAGTTACAAAGCTAGTTTGGGGGATTGGACTTCTGAGCTCAAGGGTCTGAGTCCTGAGTCCCATACCTTAACCACTGCTTTATCCTGCTTTTTCTGCCCGGTATATGAAGTAGCCGAATGGAAATCACACACCTACCTATGATAAGGCTAAACGTCCAAATTATTATAGTGCAATGTGGTAGCATTGGATGGTGCATGCGGAACAGACGTTTTGACAGGGTGGCGATGATAGAAATTATAGGATTTTCTGGCAATCCCTGGGGGGGAATAACGAAAAGGATTCTCAGTGGTAACAAGGTTAAGGCCCACTGGTCAGGACCCATGGCTGGGAATCGTGCTTTTGACTGAGTATCAGCACAGCATGTATTAACCGTTCTTGGGGCCAAGCCCGTGGATCCCTCAGTGCCTTGATTTCGTGGTGTATAACCAGAGTGAATGGGAGTAGACCTCCGGTCTTGATGAGCCCGTCTCCACCATTTCTCTTTCCCCACCCAATCTAGACTGAGTCCCCAAGAGCCCGTTTTCTTTTTCTTTCTTTTGTAGAGTGGGAATTGCTGGGCCATGTCGTGTTCTGTCATCTGCTTTCTGTCCCATAGGTGCTGGTGTCCCTGGGGGCCAGTGAGCGATTAGCCATGCTCTCTTTGGGGAATCAGTTACTGGCGCCCAGCAGCCCCCGGCCTGCCTCTGCCAGACACTGCAGGAAGCTCATTCACCTCCTGAGGCCAACCCACAGCACGTGATCTCAGATTCCTGCGGTCCATCCTCCAGCCTTTGTGGCCCCCTTATGGCCAACCTCTCCTTTTTCTACTATATGAGCCACCAACTCAACCAAGAGCTAAGGAGACTAAAAAAAAGAGATAAGCTGCAAGTCAACTGATTTGAGAACTAGAAACTAGAAGAGATTTATGTATAAAGCTCCCTCCTTTCCCCAGATACTGATTTCAACCAGTAAACGTCATTGATGTTGGTGCCAGAGAAGATTCCTTCCTTTTCTACATCGAAGCCTCTTTCTCCGATCATGTGCTAATCCCAAGAACATGTCTCCTGGACGTCAGGGAGGCATCTTCTATCTGAGAGCTCTCTTCCTTTCTGGAGCTCCTATAATCCTTCCAGCAGGTTCCTGCCTTAGTGCACTGGCCCCAGGACAGTGATGAGGACAGAGCCTGTCTCCTCTCTAGGTGATAAATGCCATCAGTCCCTGCTGTGGATGGTTCTCTGACCCGTAGCCCACATTCCCATCCATGGGTTAGGGTGGAGAGTCTTTTCTTTCTTTTTTTCTTTCTTTCTTTCTTTCCTTTCTCTTCCTTCCTTCCTTCCTTCCTTTTTTCCTTTCCCTCCCTCCCGCCCTCCTGCCTGTCTTCCTTCCTCTTTCTTTCTTTCTCTCTCTCTCTTTCTTTCTTGCCTTCCTACTTTCCTTCTGCTCATCCTTCCTCTGTTTGTAAACCCTTGTCATAAAAGGTGTACCTCGCCTTACTTGGAGCTGCCAGGGTAAGAGGTTGGGGGGCTCAGCTCCTCTCTCAGCTGCTGTGTAGTGTTGCAAGCACTCGTGTCCTGTTCACAAAAGATCCTGTTTGGGAGCTTATTTATTCTATCTCTTTTTGCCTTCCAGCTTCTTCCATCCCAGATGAGCTACATGTGGTCACCTATTTCCAAGCCAGGGCCAGTGGAGCTGAAATAGGGAGGGATAGGATTAAACAGAGAGGTACATTGGATTGCTTTGTGATCTCAGCCTGACTGACGAGTTTTGATGTTTGATGTAGTTCCAATGTTTGGGAAGCCCAGCTGCTTAAGAAGGGCAACTGTTTATGGACATTGTGCATTTTACCAGAAAGAGATGTTTGGCAGACCCATTAGTTAGAGTCGTGATCCAGCTGGAAACATACTAGAAAGCTTAAACCTTGCAACAAGCTTCCCAGAGCTCTGATTTCTCCATCCGTAAAATGGGGAGACTACTTTTTGTCCTTCCTAAATTCCAATTGTTTTTGAAATGAAAGATAAGTAAAGTGTCCTTAATTTTTTTTAAAGATTTTATTTATTTATTAGAGAGAGAGAGAGCATGTGTGTGTGTGCGCGCACGTGAGTCAGGGGAAGAGCAGAGGGAAAGGGATAAGCAGACTCTGTGCTGAGCGCAGAGCCTGAGCCTGAAACGGGGCTCGATCTCATGCCCCTGAGATCAGATCATGACTTGAGCCAAAATCAAGAGCTGGACACTCAACTGACTGAGCCACCCAGGCGCCCCATGTGCCCTTATTTTTATAAGTAATTTTATTTAGCCCTCATCTTCATTGTGCATTGTCTGTGTTTATATTTTAGCAAAAATAACATTTTTTTTCTAGAGACCACCATAATTTCCTCCTATCCAGATTATTTCAGTTCGGTTCACCATTGAGTCCTTTCTCAGGCACTAGAGATAAAGCAATGTGTATTCGCCATAGAGTTTCCATTCTGGGCGGGAAGACGACGAACTTAATAAAATAAGTGAATTCTGCATAGCATGTAGAGAGGTGAGAAAAGCTCTGGAGAAAAATTAAGCACAGAAAGAGGATGAGGAATGCTGAGTTGGATGGTCAGGTTAGGCCTCACTGAGATGACCTTTGAGCAAAGACTTGAAGGAGATGAGGCAATGAGCAGGGCAGCTATCTGAGGGAAAATTTGAGGCAGAGACAATAATCACTTCAAAGGCCCTGAGACAGAAGCATACCTGGTGGGCTTGAGGAGCTGTGGGGAAGGCCAGTTTGGATGCAAGATGTGAAGAAGGGGGAGAATAGTAGAGATGAGGACAGGAAGGTAGTGGGGACCAGATGTTATAAGCCTGCAGACCTAGTACTTTGAGTAAAGTAGGCATCTACTGGAGAGCTTTGACAGAGAAGAGATGTGATCTACCTTACGTTCTGGAAGATTATTCTTCATTCTCGTGTTGTGCATGGACTGTGAGGAGTGGGGGGCGGGGCTGGGAGGCAGGGTGAGTGCTTAGGAGGCTACCGTGGTACCAGTGGGATGGTGAAAAATAGATTTTGAATATATTTTGGACATGGAGCAAAAAGATTTTTTAACTGATTGGATGTGAACAAAGGAAAGTAGACAAGGATAACTCCCAGATTTTTGGCCTAAGCAATGGGGAGAACGGAATTGCCGTTAACTAAAATGAGGAAGGCTATTAGTGGAGGGGTAATGGGTGGGAAAATTCAAGTTCAGTTTTGAACATGTTATGTCTATTGGAAATTTTTTTTTTTTTAAGATTTTATTTATTTGACAGAGACACAGCGAGAGAGGGAACACAAGCAGGGGGAGTGGGAGAGGGAGAAGCAGGCTTCCCGACGATCAGGGAGCCCGATGCGGGGGCTCAATCCCAGGACGTGGGGATCATGACCTGAGCTGAAGGCAGATGCTTAATAACTGAGCCACCCAGGCGCCCCAGCTGGAAATTTTTAAACACACAAAAGTAGAGACATAAATTCAGTGAACTCTATTACGGTTCCAACAGCTGCCATATCTATTCTTTTTCTATTCAAGTATTCTATTTTATTTTTATTTTTTTTTCTTCAAGTATTTGAAAATAAATCTTGGGAAACATATAATGTTACCCATAGTACTTTGGTGTATATCTTTAACAGATCAGAACTTCTGTTTTTGTTTTTAACAAAACCACAGTATTTCACTAAGACTTGTCTGGATTCAGGCAAATACAGTATTGTATTTTAAAATCTAGATTTCTTCCCCCTAAAAGATGAACTAGGAAGAATTACCTTAGGAAAGAATTATTTTTTCCCCCAGATAATTCATTAAATACTAGCTAGAAATACCATGCTTGCCTGGTACATAAAAAATTTGATGTAGAGAAATTAAATATACAAACTTTTTAGGTTTTCACATAAAACAATAGTTAATCATTTCATGAGTAAGCATAATAAGAAAACACGTTTCCATCCTTGGGAGCATATAATCTAAGGGCTTAGAAATATGTAAACAATTTCACTTCATTTTATATCATTGCACAAAGTGCTGAGAGGATTTGACATGAATGGTCTGAGTAGTGCCTGGAATTCAGAGAATGTCTGGAAGGTTTGAGGATTTGTGCCTGTGTTTGGTTTTGCATGTGTATGAGAGTATATGTGTTTTAACTCTTCTGGGGTGAGAAGCAGGTTAACGTTTTCAAACATTAAAAGTAGAGGGGTGCCTGGGTGGTTCAGTCATTAAGCCTCTTCCTTCCACTCGGGTCATGATCCTGGAGTCCTGGGATTGAGTCCTACATCGGGCTGCCTGCTCGGGGCAGGAAGCCTGCTTCTCCCTCTCCCACTCCCCCTGCTTGTGTTCCCTCTCTCACTGTGTCTCTCTCTGTCAAATAAATAAAATCTTTAAAAAAAAAAAAAAAAAAAAGGAGAGAATGGCATAGTAAGCTCCCAAACCCTGATCCCACAGATTCAGCTGTTACAAGCATTTTGTCAAACTGGTTCTACCTATTCCTTCTTAAATTTTGTCATTGTTATAGTTTAAAAAGCACTCTATTTTGAAGTAATTTAAAATTTAAAGAAAAGTTGAAAGAACAGTTACAAAGAACTTGCATACACCCTTCACCCAGAGTCACTGATTAACATTTTGCCACAACTGGTTTTACCATCTTTTTCTGAACTATTTGTTAGTAAGTTGTAAATATCATGTCCTTTTACCTTTACATACTTACGTGGCAATTTCTTAAGATCAAGGATATTCACTTATATAATCACAACATGATTAGCAGAATCAGGAAATTTAACACTGATATAATACTATTAACTATGCTGCCATATCCAAATATTGTCAATTGTTCCTATATATTTTTTTTCAAAATGGTTCTTTTTTTTTTTCTTCAAATTTTTATTTAAATTCTAATTAACCTATAGTGTAATATTTGTTTCAGGAGTAGAATTTAGTGATTCATCACTTACATATAACACCCAGTGCTCATCACAACAAGTGCCCTCCTTAATACATATCACCCATTTAGCCTAACCCCTGCCCACCTCCCTCCAGTAATGTTCTTTATACCAATTTTTTTTTCCTGGTCCAGGATCCAACCAAAGATCATGCTTTGTGTTAGTTGTGTTGTCTCTAATCTAGAAACACCCGTCATCTTTTCCTTTGCCTTTTTTTACATTGGTTGACATTTTGAAGAATACAGGCCAATTTGGGTATATCTGATGATTTTTTTGTGATTTGATTCAGGTTATACATTTTTTTATTTTTTTATTTTTTTATTTTATTTCTTTATTTGAGAGAGAGTGAGAAAGAGAGAGATCATGAGCAGTGGGAAGGGGCAGAGGGAGAAGCAGACTCCTCACTGAGCAGGGAGCCCAACTCTGGACTCCATCCCACGACCCTGGGATCATGACCTGAGCCAAAGGCAGACGCTTAACCAATGAGCCACCCAGGCACCCCACAGGTTATACATTTTTAGTAGAAACACTACGTAAGTGGTGATGTGTCTTCTATATCATATATCATATCCGAAGCTAATGATGTTGCTTTTCCCCATTATTGGTGAAGTACCTTTGATCACTTGGTTAAGGTGGTCTGGGCAGATTTCTTTTGATGTAGCTTTTTTTTTTTTAATAGACTTTATATCTTAGAACAGTTTTAGATTTACAGAGAAGTTGAGCAGATAGTAGAGAGAGTTCATATGTTATACTCCTCCCCTACACAGTTTCCCTTATTATTAACATCTTACGTTATTATGATACATTTGTTATAATTAATGAACTGATATTGATATATTATTAACCAAAGCCTGTATTTTATTCAGATTTCCTTAGTTTTCTTACCTGATTTCCTTTTCTGTGCCATGATCTTATTACACGTTACATTTAGTTGTCTCCTTAGGCTCCCCTGACTATAACCGTTTCTCAGAAGTTTCTTTTTTTTGATGAATTTGTCAATTTTGGGAAGTACTGGTCAGGTATTTTGTAGGATTCCCCTCTATTGGAATTTGATGTTTCTCATGACTAGACTGGGTTATAGGTTTTGGGGAGGAAGATCACAAAAGTAAAGTGCCATTTTCATGACCTGTCAAGGGCGCACACTATGTATCTGATTTCTGACTGTTGATGTTGACCTTGATCACCTGGCTGAAGTGGTGTTTGTCAGATTTTTCTACTGTTTCTACTTTTGCCCTACTCCACCCTTTCCACCTTTCCTTACTGTGCTCTTGGAAAGAAGTCACTTTGCACAGCCCATACTTAAGGAATGAGGGAGTTATGCTTCCCCTCCTTTAGGGCTGAGTATCTACATAGTATCTACATTTATTTGGAATTCTGCACAGGAAATTTGTGTATTTACTGCGTTTATGAACATATTGAACCATTTATTTATGCCAGGGACTCATAGATACTTGTTTTATACTTTGGGTTATAAACCACTACTACTTTATTCAGTTTTGTTGCTCAAATTGTTCCAGCTTTGGTCACTGGGAGTTCTTTCAGTTAGCTCCTGTGACACACGCCCACCAATGTGGTTTTTCTTTCTGGCACTACAAAATGTTTCAGGCTCATCTTGTACATTTCTTACCTCAGTCCTGGAATCAGACATTTCTTCAAGGAGCCCGTTTTTTTTGTTGTTGTTGTTGTTTTTTTAATGGAGAATGATATTAGAAAGTAGGACCTGAGGGGCGCCTGGGTGGCTCAGTCGTTAAGCGGCTGCCTTCGGCTCAGGTCATCATCCCAGGGTCCTGGGATCGAGCCCCGCATCGGGCTCCCTGGTTCGCGGGAAGCCTGCTTCTCCCTCTCCCACTCCCCCTGCTTGTGTTCCCTCTGTCGCTGTGTCTCTCTTTGTCAAATAAATAAATGAAATCTTAAAAAAAAAAAAAAAGTAGGACCTGAGTGCTAGGTGTGCTCATTGCCTCTAGAGTGTTTGCTATCAGTATTTTAAAGCAAAAGCAAATCCCTGGCATCATGTCTAATTGCTAAAAAATATCTGTATGTGAAAAATAAGAGTATTTTCTTTTTTAAAATATTTTATTTATTTGACAGAAAGCTTGCACAAGCACGGGGAGCAGCAGAGGGAGAGGGAGAAGCAGGCTCCCCACTGAGCAGGAAGCCCAATGTGGGGTTTGATCCCAGGACACTGGGATCAGGGCCTGAGCCAAAGGCAGACACTTAACCCACTGAGCCACCCAGGTGCCACAGTAAGGGTATTTTCTTAAATAACCAAATGTCAAAGTAAACTGTAGCTGCCACAATAAATTACCTCAAATTTAATGGCTTAAAATAAGAGACATTTTTTTCTTTCACAGTTCTGGAGGCCAGAAGTCTGAAATCAGGCTGTCTTAAGGACCTCCATTGCCTCGGAAGGCTCTATGGAAGAATCCACTTCTCGCCTCTTTATCTTCTGGTGGTTTTAGGCATTCCTTGGCTTGTATCCACATCAGTCCAATCTCTGCCTCCTTGGTCACATTGCCTCCTCCTCTTTTTTTTTTTTTTTTTTTTGAGATTTTATTTATTTATTTGAGAGAGAGAGAGAGAGAGCACAAGCTGGGGGAACAGCAGGCAGAGGGAGAGGGAGAAGCAGGCTCCCTGCTGAGCAGGGAGCCCGATGTGGGGCTCGATCCCAGGACCCCTGGATCATGACCTGAGCCGAAGGCAGACACTTAACCGACTGAGCCACCCTGGTGCCCCTTCCTCCTCTTTTCTGTGTCTTCTCTCTTGTCACATCTCCCTCGGCCTATGAAGGACACCTGTTATGGGATTTAGGATTCAGAAAATCCAGAAAAATTCCTTAATCCTCTCAAAATCCTTTTGCCATATATATAATAATTACAGGTTCCTGGAATTAGGATGTGGATATATTTTTTTGGAGGGGGCACCATTCAGTCAACTGCATAACAGAATTAATAATGGTTTCCTAACACCTGTTTTTGTTCTTAATGTCCCCAGTCCATATTCAGATTTCTCCATTGTCTCAAAAATATCTTTTACAGTTGGTTTGTTTGAATCAAGATCCAGACAAGGTCCACTCACTGCATTTGAGAGTCTCTTAAGTCTCTTACAATCTAGAACACCTCACTTTTTTTTAAAACTCTGAAATTGTTGAAGAAATGAGGTCATTCATCCGTACATTGACCCACATTCTGGATTCGCTGGATTGCTTTCTTGCAGTGTCATTATTTCTCTTTATTTCCTATAAACTGGAAGTTGGAGCCAAAAGCTTGATTAGATTCAGATTCAACTACTGACAAAAATACACTACTTCCTAAATATTGTATAGTTCAAATTGTATCACATTAGGAAACATAATTTATAGCTGTCCTGCATTTCATGATCTAAGATTGGTTAAAATCTAGAGGTGATCCTTCCAGTGTAAAATTCCCCCAATCAATCCTCTAATGGTTTTAGCATCTGTCAATACTGTTGCTGAAGTCAATTATTCATTAAGCTTCCCTGCGCTGGTCCAGATTGTTTTCATTAGGTTAGCTTCACTTTTATTGCGCCCTTTATTTCTGTAGCCTACTGTTTAGAAAAGACCTTTTCACCCTCCAGCTCTCTTCCGATTTTCTTTTTCTTTTTTAAAGATTTTATTTTTATTTGAGAGAGACAGAGAGAGCACTCGCGGCAGGATCAGGGGAGGGGCAGAGGGAGAAGGGGAAGCCGACTCCCTCCTGAGTAGAGAGCCTGATGTGGGTGGGGCTCTCTCTCAGGACCCCAAGATCATGACCCCAGCTGAAGGCAGACGCTTAACTGACTAAGCCACCCAGACACCCCTCTCCTTTGATTTTCAAATCCATTAGGTCTAGGGACATCTGGGACTAAGAACATCCAGGGCACAGTCTGCCTTGCCTAGGGAGATGATGAATTGAGTCAGTGTTTCCTAAAGTTCATACCTGAAGCCTATAAAGCAGGTGGTTGTAATAGGACTCTACTGAGTAGATTGGAATTAGGAGAAAGTGGGTTGGAGGGAAACAGCGGATCTGGCGGTGTCTCCTTTCCTGGGGTCAAATTCGGAAGACTTCTGTTGAAAAGGACTACTTAGAAACTTCTTTAATAAAGATTTGATTTTAGAGGAGCGAATTAAGGCATGGACAAAGAAAGAGTCCATTCGGTGAGGTGGTATCAAGGCCCAGAGAAGGAGAGAATCCTGGAATCCCAGAACGTAGTCTTTCACGGTGGTGGTGGTGGTGGTAGTGGTGGTGGTAGTGGTGGTGATGGTGGTGGGATGTGTGTGTGTTAATCTCAGGACTACATCTCCCAGAATTCCGCTCTCTGGGTCTCACGCGCGCTGAAGCGCCTGCGCATGCGCGAGACAGGTGACGGCCTGCCTTCCCAGGCCCCACAACCCCCGAGATTCGGCGCGCCTGCCTCCCGCCCGCCTGCTGAGATCGCCCCTTCCAGGCCCTCGGTCTGTCCGCTGGGGGCGCGCGCAGTGCCTGGCAGGCGGCCTCAGCGCCGGCAGCTGGGAGCGCGGGTCGCGTGGCGGTGCGTGGTTGCTAGGGGCGTCTCAGGCCGCCCGCTTGCCCTGCAGGCCGAGGGAGGAAGCAGCGCGGAGCCGGCGCCGAGCCGGGGCGAAGCTGGGTCCGCTAGGTGAGTGTGGCGGTGAAGCCGGGGGAACGACCCTCCGCCCGCCGACTCTCCCGCCCTTCCCTCTGCCCGGGTCCTTTCGCGCGGCTCCGCAGCCCTCCGGCGGCTCCCACCCCTGCCCCGCTTCCTGCCCGCCACCTCGCCATCTCCAGGGAGGCGAGGGGGCTGCGGCCTTCCACCGGGTCAGGTCTTCGCGCGTCCTCGGGACCCTTCTCCCCCTCCGCCACGCCCCGTGAACTTAGCCCTGCCTCTGGGTGCCTGAACCCTGCCGCATCCCCTCACCCTGGGCCTCCGTGCCTCCTCCTCTTTCCCGCCGCGCTGCGGTTTAAATTCTCCTCGCCTGGGTGTGAGCCCGAGCTCCTCTCAATTCGTAGCTGAATTGAACATGAATACCCACTTTTTTCTTTCTCCATCTTCAGTAGCTGTAGGGAAATACTTTCCTAAACTGTAGAGTTTCAAACAGAATTTGAGATCTTGTAAATTTAACTCTTCATTTATGCACCGTTTATGTAATCATTCATTCAACAACTTTTTACAAACATCGGCATATATTTAGTGAAGCCAGGGCACTATGGAAGGCGCTGGGGTGATAACAGTGGTGAACAAGGCAGGCATGTCTTCCCGGAGCTTATAGTCTAGGGGCAATTTTAATCAAGTAAACAAGTGTTTGCCATACTGTGTGGTGTGTGCTCTGATAAAACATTAGAAAGATAGTTAACCCAGACTTGCTTGTAAAAGTGTATTATCCCCATTCCCTGGTCTTCACATTCTCATTCTGGATCTAGGAAATGTTTTAATCATTCTTTATGGAGTCATCCTTGCTCTCTCAGATAGTTCAGCTCACATCTTCCTCAACTTCATCACCTGTTGATTTAGCCAATCAGCAAGTAGCTGGGGGACTTTCGGGGACAGTGTTCTGTTCATCCTTCATTTCTGGCAGTAAATACTGGGACACGGCATGAGACCTACCCCCTTGACGCTGAGAAAGTTACCAGCTGCTTATTGGTTGGGCTGAATGGAACCTTGAGAAATTATCAAGTGCCTTCTGGGAATAAAGAAGTTGAGAGCACACTCCAGATACAAAGTAGCTTTAGAAAATATACAGCAAGGCCTAAAAAGAGAATTGGAAACAGTTTGACAGACCTGGGCTGGGTTTGGAGGTAGCCATCCAATGACAAATAGGAAGAGGAAAATTAACAGAGGTTAGATCACAAAGGGCCATAGCTGTTTTGTTAAAGAGAACAGTATCCTCAAGGTTTTCAAGCAGGGTGGTTGGGGCCCAGGACTTCCAAGGAATACACCTGCACATATAGCTTTAGAAGAATCAGTTTCCAGATCCTCAGCTTCCAAATGAGCTCTTCTGAAACTGACCTTACAAGAAAAGGTGGGGGCGGCAGGATGTTATATCCCTCACACTTCCCAAATTATAATGTTGTCCCAAGTGTAAAAATGTCAGGTTGTGGGGTGTCTGGGTGGTTCAGTCGGTTAAGCATCTGCCTTCAGTTCAGGTCATGATCCCAGGTCTGGCTCCCTGCTCAGTGGAGAGCCCACTTCTCCCTCTCCCTCTGTCTGCAGCTCCCCTGCTTGTGCTCTCTCTCTCTTTCTGTCAAATAGAGAAAGAAAATCTTTATTAAAAAAAAAAAAAGTCAGGTTGCCAAGTGTAGTATTAGGAAATACTGATTTCAGGAAGGCCTCCTTTGATGATTAAATTACTTTGAAAACTCAGAAGTCTTCCTGTCTTCCCCTAATACACATTGCTGTTAGGGTGAGGCTTGATTCTTATTGTGATATTCTGAATACAGATGAACTCAGCAGTTAAATGTGGCTAGAATGTTTTTTGGGACCATGGGTTTTTCAAGCTATAGGATAAAACTTGCATAAAAACTTTTAAAGAGATTTCTTTTAATTTAGGTGTGCATTTTTCAATAAGATAGTTAAAAATTATTCTATCAAATCATGAAATGCTTATTTGAATTACAGTTAATCCTTAACTTAGTTCTTTTTATAAAATGTTTAGTAGATTCTACCACCTTTTTAACAAAAGAATAAGCATGTTTAAACTTGTGATGAAAATCTTAGAATTAAACTTTAATGTGCAAGGAATACATGATTTAAATTCTTTTGGGGATACATGAGTAAAACCATTTGAAGAGTGTGTTGCAGGAAAACCATGGAAAGATAATTAGCAGGAAGATAACATTAGATTTGTGTTTGAGGTTACTGTAGCATTAGAGTGTGGGTTGAATAGGGAGGATTTTAGACTGGAGACAGGGAGCCAGTGAGAAAATTTGAGACCAGGCTAGAGATGCTGAGGGCTCTATGTTGGCTGCAGTGGGAATGGAGAGGGTTTAGAGAGACGTTAAAGATGATAGAGTGGACAAGGCCTGGTGGCAAAACAGATATACAGAGAGTGGGACAAAGAACAATCTGGAATGATCCTAAGTTCCGACTTTAGTGACCAGGTGGGTGGTGATGCAGGAGAAACTATTAGGAGGAAGAGCAGCTTTGAGGAGAAAGATAAAGGGGTTCACTTTGGACATGACGAGTTGAGTTCCCTACAGCACATCCAGGTAGAGAGGCCCAGGAGGTCGTTCTGTAGGTCTGGAGTTCATGACAGAGGTCTGGGTGATGATAAAAAGTTGAGAATGGAGGAGGTGGTCGCAGTCATGGGATGGAAGAGATTGCCCTGGGAGGGTTTATTGAATATTGACTGTGTGCCAGGCAGAGTGAGAAGACTGAACTCCTAGGAACACCAACATTGAGAGAGTGGGCAGAGGAAAAGGGATGAAAGAGAATTTATAACCAAATACACAAATGAGTGTGTAAATGAAAAGTCAATTGCTAAACAGCTGTATCTGAATGAAGCCTTAACTTCAGGATCTGATACTCATGATCTGGAGTTGAGTTTAGCTTCCTCACAAGATTCCTTTGTGACCTTGAATTGTCTGATTATAGGCTCCCTGGATTCCAGCATGGCATCAGATGCTTTGATCTGTCAGTGAAATGCAGAGAAAAATTTTCTTAAATGCCCTGAACTTCTTACCCTTTCCTCTGGCAGAACTGGAAAAGCAGACTGGGTATTTGGGAATAAATATGGAGAGTGCTAATTTCTCTTAGGCTCTGAAATACAGAGAAATTTGTCTTTAGGAGCCCTCATGGATATTCTGGACAGGCAATGGTATTTTAGACCAGAGGTGCTCAGACTTACTGCTTTTAGGACTCTTTTTTGTTTGTTTTTTTAAAATATTTTATTTATTTATTTGACAGAGAGAGACACAGTGAGAGAGGGAACACAAGCTGGGAGAGTGGGAGAGGGAGAAGCAGGCTCCCAGCCGAGCAGGGAGCCCGATGTGGGGCTCGATCCCAGGACCCTGAGATCATGACCTGAGCCGAAGGCAGACGCTTAACAACTGAGCCACCCAGGCGCCCCTTAGGACTCTTTTAAGCACTTCAAAACCTCTTCCGGATCGTCAATATATTTTTTAATGTGGGATATATAATCTGGATATTTGCCATATTAGAAATTGAAATATTAATTCATTTATTTCTTCATTTTTTTTTTTACTATGTTCAGTTAGCTGCTGTATGGTACATCATTAGTTTTTGATGTAGTGTTCAATGATTCATTAGTTGCGTATAACACCCAGTGCTCATCATAACACGTGCCCTCCTTAGTACCCATCACCTGGCTACCCCATCCCCCCACCCTATTAATTCATTTAGAAGTAATAAATACATTACAAGTTAACATAGGTAGAATTTTTATTTTATTTTAATTTTTTAAAAGATTTTATTTATTTGAATGAGAGCTTGAGAGCAGGGGGGAGGAGCAGAGGGAGAGGGACAAGCAGACTCTATGTTGAGTGTGGAGCCTAACACAGGGCTCGATCTCATGATCCGGAGATCATGACCTGAACCGAAATCATGAGTCAGACACCCGACTGACTGAGCCAACCAGGTGCCCCATAAGCAGAAGTTTTTAAATGAAAAATGATACTGTTTCAAAAAGATTAGTGAGAACAGTAGATTTGTTTTTGCAAATCTCTTTAATGTCTGGCTTAATAGAAGATAGCTGGATTTTCATATCTCTTTCTGTGTTCAGTCAGTTGTGATGTGTTGTTTTGGTTGAATTATTAAGAAAATCCAGCTCGTGGCGCCTGGGTGGCTCAGTCAGTTAAGCGTCTGATCCCAGGGTCCTGGGGTTGAGCCCTACCTGGGGCTCCCTGAACCTGCTTCTCCCTTTCCTTCTGCCCCTCCCCTCCACTTGTGCTCTCACTGTCTGTCTCTCTCTTTCAAGTGAATAAATGAAATCTCTAATAATAAAAATTTAAAAAAAAGAAAAGAAAATCCAGCCTCACAGACATTTAGTTGGTAGTTGTGGGTATTCTTTGGTATTACACAAAAATTAACAAGGGATGGTTTTATGAAGATTATTGCAATGTGGAATCTGAAATTAACTTTTCATACTTTGTTACATTAAAATCCATTGCTCTGTGTCTCATTTTGACTGGGTCTTTTTTTTCTTTTTCTTCCTGTTTGTTTTTGACGGGGCCTTTTACCCAGACATGATTCTTTAACATTGTGATAGGTATCTGGAAAACAGCTCTTCCAAATGTTGCCACATTTTATTAATAATATCCAAAAAAAAAAAAATCATTCATATTATCACCACACTTTCATCAGAAAAATCCTTAACTTTTGGGAAGCTGTCAAGTTTATGGTGGCAGATACAGTTTTGTCAGAATTCTAATTTTTCTCTTGGAAGCTGAAATTTTATCATTGGCAACAAATATTGTCAGTTGTTTTTCTTGAATTGACAGACTCACTTTGTTTTGTTTTCTAGAAAATGTTTGCCAGATGCCAAAGTCTGAATAACCCATCACTTTTGTGTCATTTATTCTTTCAAGCGAACATGGTGTTCCACAGAAAAATTTTGGAAATTCAAACACACAGTGCTTTCCTTAGAGATGGCCATCACCTTGTGTTCGCCACAGAAGTGTTTT